AGTCCGTCCCCTGGGCTTCGTGGTCATTCCATGACTGTGGGTTTGGGCATATTTTTCTTTGGGGTTCGGTGCATGGGGAAATGAGCTCTACACTGCAACCATCAGAAAACGTAGCAGGGCTCCCTATGTTGCCTTTTTGTTGGACATGTAAATATGTAAATGCGTGTCGGGCAAGCTTAAAGTGTGTTTCCTCTAAGTAGGGTGAAGTGTAAGGGCGGAAAATACAAAACGATGATATACCATATTTATATATATATATATATGATATATCATATATATATATATATATATATATATATGCAGAGATACATGTAGGAAACCCCGCAGTTTCCCATGATGTCAACCCAACAAACTTGTGTTGTGGTCTTCGACCCCCTCTGTCCCCCCTCCGTCTCCTTAAGGTGAAAAAGACCCTATTACGGCATGATTAAAGCCTTGCTTGAAGGCAACCAGGGGTGGGGTGGGGGAGGTTAGCTGATATGATGTGTTGAAGTAAACTTGTGTGGGACGGGCCATGGGTACGGCGGCTGGAGCAATGTATAATTTCTAGGTCCCCCAGTGCCCTTTTCCCCTTTTTTCTGGGAGGGTTCCCCTACTAAAATAGACTACAGAAAAAGGGTACCCTTGATCTAACCTCTATTGGAGGACCTAGATGTTACAGTATCTTACAGTCTATGTCAGGTGCATTGAAGCCGTACACTCCAAGGCCCACACAAATTGACTTGGACTGGCAAAGTTTCTCCTTAGGTAATTCGCCCAGTCCTGCAGTGGCGCTCTCTGTTCGAGTGGTTTGGGCGGGGTTCCGTTTTACATTAATTCAATCAAAAGACAGGGAGCCGTCTTTTGTTTCCGCCACGGCTACTGGGGGTTTGAGTTAGGGTCACTGAGTTCATGGAGTTTCGTTGCTTTTTGGGGGAGGCCATGTTTGTGGCGAAGAATTTGGGCCTTTGGCCTCGGGCCTAGGACCCTTTGGTGGAAACCTGGTTCCACATGTTTAAACAAATACGCATATACCGTAAACACGCTTACCTGCCCTGCACATATATATATATATATAGATAGATATATGTATATGCGTATATTATATACATATATATATATTGATTTACTTATTTATTTATTCCTTTATGTATTTATTTATTCATTCATGTATGTATTTGTTTATTTGTACACACCCATGTGGGTATGTTGAAAAAGGGGTACCCTCAAATGGGTCTGTCTTCTGTTTGCTTTCCTTTAAACCAAGACTGAAGCAGGGCGCTAACTTAATGGCACTAACCCATGGCTCATCAGTACACAAGTTGTTTTAAATAGGGGAACTCCAAGTTGGGCCAGCAGGGAATGAAGGACTGCCCTCTATAAACCGGTTTCCTTTAAGGGAAATCATTCCCAACACCCTGGCTCATTCCCTACCTATCGCACCAGCAAGTAACATTGATATGAAGGGCTTTACCATAAAACTGGATTGGGTCATGGCATCATGAGGATTTGCCCTGGTAACTCTTTAATTCGTCAGCCCCTACCTGGCAGCCCAAAAAGTTATCCTTTTTTTGCCATCGAAACCACCCGTTCCTGCGACAGGCTGTGCTGCTGCGGGGCTCCACGGACATCCTCTGCGCACGGCTGGCCGGAGCACTCGGACGGCGAGGGTGAAGGTCGTGGATGCCCAAGGAAGGGGAATTCCCGGAGGCCTCAGAAGGCTTGTGAATGAGGCCTAGGTCCCCCAGTAGTACCCTTCTCTCCCCTTTTTTTTAGGGGAGGGTTCCCCTACTAAGATAGACTACAGAGAAAAGTTGGTACCCTTATTCTAACCTCTCTACTGGAGGACCTAGAGGCAACGGCTGCGTCGGGGGGCATGGTTTCAGAACCGGGTTTACTTCTCCCACCAAATAGCCGGAACCTGAGGTTTCGGGAAACGGTCCCTTTGAAAGGAAGACGGTCCAAACCAGCGCCCCCAAAAGAATGTCAGGTTCCAGTGTTAATTGGTGGGGGGGGGGGGTACCCTGAATAATTTAGAAGTACACAGGCTAGACAAAGATGCGACCTCGTGGGGCCCGGAAATTAAATTGCTTCCAACTTGCTGCCCTTGCAATATGTAGGGCATCCACCGTATAGGTTGGGAATGATTCCGCACCAAAGTAAATGGGGGCACTTTAAAGAATCAGTTGAGACACCCTTTTTTCTTTCGCCCCGCATAAAGAATCAGGGGCAGGTTCAAGGCTAAGTGAAAGGGGTGCCCTGATTGTCTGTGATTAGTTGGGCTGACAGACCCCTTGTGGAAGAAATTTCCAACCTGCCTCTTATTTCAATATGTTTAAAGCATTTTTTTCACAACCTCCTTTGGTTTTCCTACAAAAAGGGCGCCGAGTTCGTCCTTGAGAACGTCTGACCTTGTGGTTTCGGGGCAGGACTCGGGACTCGGGACTCGGTTTCCCTTCAAGGATCATAAGGCGTCTGCCGCACATTTTCCCCTTCGTACCATGCGAGGAAATGTTCCCTCACTCGAGTTCCTGCTGACAATTCTGGCACCCTATTCGAGTGCTACGCATTGGTTTTATTTAAGACAAAAGTGTTGTTTAATTGTAACAAACCGCTAACTCTATGGTTCTTATACAAAGACTTCAGCCTTGTTTTCACCAAACTAGCCCTCGCATTCGTGGAATGTTCCTTCCAGGCCTCTCAGATGCGCGAGAAGGATGGCCTCTCGCAGGTGCGGAAGCGAGATGGGTGCGGAAGAAAGTTTGAAGGTATGTTGGCTTAGGAGGGGAGGCAACCATGGTTGTTGTTGGGAAGCAAAATGCATGCTGGCTGAAAAGGTTTAGTGGGAAATCCCACTTATTGTGGGATATACCCATTTGGCTGTGGGTCAAAACCAATCGGATCCCATTTTGGGGTAGGTGCACCACCCATTTTAGTTGATTTTAGTGGGGAGTGGGATGTTCACTGGGGGTACGGGCCTTTGACCCATGGCCATTTGCGGGGTTGGCTTAAGAGGGGAGGCAACAGGAAAACCATCCAATTTTTTAGAGACCCCCCCCATCTCAACCCTGGGTTGATGAGACCAAACCACCAAGGCGCGACTTTTTCCATGGGTGGCTTTTTTTCGAGACCCCAATAAAACCGGCGGGTTTTCTTTCGGTGTCCCTTCAATCCCAGGCAGGGAGCCACAGAATGAAAGTGGTTCATGATGATGTTGGCCTTTTTGGTTCATGCCGTCTCTGCACAGTCTGATGTTGCAGATTTCGGAAGGTTCTGGGGCACCTAAATGGACATGTATACCAATCGAACGCGAGTTTCCTTTGGGTGGGGTGATGTGAACGAGCTTGGGATAACTTTTGTTGACAGTGGTTGATATACGTAAATATAACTATAAATACAAATTGCTATACATACATGTAGAGGACCCTCTTCAAGACCATCAAAAAGAGCAGGAGGCACGGTGAGTTTGCTCACTATTCTCGGTTGTCCAATGCTGACCTTTGTTTTTTTGTCAATTTCCCGGGTTCGACTTTGGGTTCCGGCTGTTCGGTGGAGAGAATTGTTGACAGCGTGGGGAAAAGAAGGACCCCATGAGTGTTCGTTACGGGGGGACTCCTTGATTTTATTGCTGACTAGTAATGTTGGGGAGTGATTAATAAAGAGCCCCCCCCCTCAAACGAATTGGGGGGGGTCAATAGCGAGAACCCCCAAAAACAAAATGGGGCTCACTACGGTTTAGAATTGGTTTAGTATTAGTTCAGTATTCTTTTCAGTTGACTCACTACAGTTTAGAACTGGTTTAGTATTGGTTCTTCTTCTTGGCAGGCTGCCCTGGCCATTTTTTTTTCACAATTCCCTACCCTTAAACAAACTGCATTATTGCCTTCCTGGGGGTTCCGTGTGCCACCCCCTTGAAGATTTGTCAGGGTGCATCTTCTAGTAAAGGGATTGATAAGGAATTTGGTGGTTTTGGACAGGAAGCAATCCAGAAATTCTGGACATTTCTGGCTGGACTCAAACGTTTCAACCCTCAAAAATAGTCCATTCTTGGAAGGTGACATATTTTCGGGATTTTCGGGCAGATTGTTTTTCTGTAATACCTACCCTTTTTGCTTTTCAGGAGAGCGAATATTTTTTAGATGTTTTTCTGTATTCACTCCCGTTTTATTAATCGCTATCTAACATTAGCAAGTAGTCCGGAAATGTTTTGGGTGTGTCTGGTTTGAGGGTGCCATTCAACCCTTTTGAGGGCGCAGCGGTTTTGGGGTTTCGGGGCTACTTTCTGTGAGGGAATCCCATCTTACATGTTCATCCTGTCATACTTTACAACCAGCCACCCTTTTTGCGCAGCTGTTCATTCATCTTTCTACGAAGCCGCCGTTTTCTCAGCATGCATTTACTGGGGCCAAGGGAGCAAGCCTAAAGCTCGGAGTCCCTTTGATCTCCTCCCAAAGGCAAAGGGGAATTATCATTTCACCCACGCAAGGATGGCCAGGCTATCTGGGTTTTTGCCGCGAGGTTTGACCGAGGCCGAACTATGTTTGTGCCGGCTTGAGCTGTTTCCAGAAGTCCTTCCATTGGCGTTCCTGTTGGCGTTGTCTGTTTGTCTATATTATTTGCATTATCGATCTCCTTGCGGTAGGGAGCTCTGTTTTTTAAGGGGCCAATCTAGGGACTTGTGTTTTTTTGGGGGGGAACTACGGGGGGGCTCAAATATGGGGCTCCCAGCCGGTGGGTTTTTCTTCGGTTTCCCTTTGAGTCCCCTTGTGGATCCGGATCGCGAACCAGTGCTTTGCAATCGCTCTTGGCTCAGAGGGGGCCCCTTGGCACCCCGAGCGCCCGGCGTTGAAATCATGCTGTTGCAAACGCAGTGAAGAGGTTTCAAGTTTAAGTCTCAAGCAGTTTCTTGAAATGAAACTTGAGAATCCAAGCTTCAAGTTGAAGCCTCGAAGAACACCTCGCCCCCGCGCCTACAGCTCACGCTGGCGGGTTGAGCTCGCTGGCCAAGTTCTCCGGTTCCAATGACCAGTCAGCTCCTGGGCTTAAGGGTCTAGAGGCGAAGTCCCAATGGGTTTAGAAGGAAGGATTTTGCGAGCCAAACTTTCAGACTGTTGAACTTGTACTTGTTGTCTTCGTTTAGCAGTGGCTGGAACCAAAATGAAAGCTTTCAACATGAACGGGGGATTTGAACCATGGAATTTGAACCAGGAACTTGCACGCGTTATCCTCATGTCAACTTCCGATTGATCCGGAGGACCGTACTAGTCAGAGTGTTCTCCTTTGAGTAAGGAAGTATTTTTGGAGGTTTCTCTGATTAGTAGTGGTGGAGTGATCCGCAGTTGACATGATGCTCATGACTCAATTTGGCGTCAAACCACCCCACCGACAACACTTCCTGTGTCACTGGACGAAAAACCTTTAAAACGACCAATTTAGCGTTTGCTGGCCCATCCCCTCAGGAAGCAAGATGGGTTTGTCTTGCAATGGATTTAAGATGAGACACTAAATACTACACGCCTTGTTCACGTCTGATCATTCAGAACCCAGGTCTAATTATCAAAGTCCGACAAAGTCCGAGTTCTAACTCCGGGGTTAAGATGGGTTCCAGTCTGAATTTGACGTTTCAGGGTCCCACCAAGTTTTTGATGGCTCAGCCAACATCTGTGAATTCCCCGGTGGTATTCCTTCGTTTAGAGGGTAGTTTTGAAGATGTTATACTAAAATATAGAATGGACCCAGAATCATGTTTCGACAACCGGCATCAAATGGACTTCAGGGCTTGGTCATGTACTTCAAGCAGATCTTTGGGGGAAATATAGTGGCTGGCTGCCCATGATTAACATGTCCAAAAGGAAACCCAATGGGGATGGATATGTTCCACGATGGGCTCAGAGGTCACGCATTCCCAAAAAGGCACCCCGGACTTGGTATGATTTAGCTCCCCTTGGCCAGAGCGTTGAACCCTGGCCACGAATCTTGTTGGGACGATGATTTTCATGGAGGGTCAGCCCCGTCAAAACTCACGTAAACTGAGATATGGACATCGTTTTTCAGAAAGTGAAGAAAGCTGGGGGAAGATGTGCTTGAAGCTAGTCCAGGATCATCACATTATGTAAAAACAAAAGAATGCGCCGAAGCGATGCCCAAAGCGATGCCCAAACGATGCTCGAAGCGAAGGTCTTCAAGTTTGCCCATTTGGGTCCTGCGCAGCACTTACCTTTGTTAGAAGTAGAAGGCCCTTGATTTTGGTTTACCACCCTGCAGCAGCACCCTGCAACAGCGCCTTGCAACAGCACCCCTGCGCAACTCTGAGTCTCGGCCTGCAGCAGCATACTCAACAACGCCCTGCAGCAGCACTCTGCAACAGAAACCTGCAATAGCACTCTGTGCAACTCTGAGTCTCGGCCTGCAGCAGCACCGTGCAACAACATGGCAACAGCGCCTAATCTCGGCCTGTGGCAGCACCCTGCTACAGCACATTGCAGCAGCACCCCGCAGGATTGCAAGCAGGTTGGCTTGGAATCCAAGAAAACATATGTGTATGCGTGGAAGCCTTTTGCCTTGGATATTTGGGGCAATGGGTCCATTGTAACATTAGACATTCCCGATTCCCGCATGTGAACACTATGTAGGAGCGATGCCCTGAACAACAAAAAAGCCAAAAACACGAAGGACGCGATGGGGATACAGGGAGTTCAGACAGCCGCGCACATAGAAAGGGGATGTATTCGCTTCAATATGATCAAAACCTGAACCCCCCAAGTAAACGATCTTTTTCAGCGCTGTTGCTCGTAAAAAGCTCGACTAAGTCAGCTCGAAGCCCACCACCACGCAGATGTGTGTGTGTGTGTTGAATTATTTGGACCAACACCCAGGTGGTTAAAAGCAGTCTGGGAGCTACATTGCCAATTGTTTTGCATTTTCAGAAGGACATCAACACGGGACGTGCGGGGTTGCATTTTGTCCACACTCCTGTTTGACAGTCAGTAACTGAACACAGGTAAGCAAACATGGGTTAGCATTCACCTTTGGAACCTGCATTTGTGCCCAGCCGGTTGTTCTGAGCGCTTATTTAGTTTGTGTTTTGACTTTTGAGGATCTTTCCAAGCGGGTATGTGTCAAAATAAGAGGACCCCCCCAAAAAAAAACAGAACATGATGTTCTTCTGTGGCTTCCCTTCAAGCCCAGGTGAAAAACGGGCGCACACACAGACACACACACAGACAAGCAAGAAAACACGTTTTTGTTTTGTTTGCTGGGCTCCCCTAATTTTGGACAAACCCATATGTTTTGGGGTAGACAATGGGCTAGAATCTGTTTGCTGGCTCTTTGTGTCGCAGCGCAAGGGCCAAAGGAAAGTTGCAACTTGGAACTCCAAAATATTGTGTGGGAATCTCCAATTTGGGGCTCCATCTATTGAAGTTCCGCTTGGGAAAGTCGCCAAATCATAGAAGAAGCCCTGGGGTTTGGGACGGAATGGTTTGAGTCAAACTAAGGAAGTGTGTGCTCGAGCCTTTTGAGTTTCAGCAGGTTGGCGGCAGGCCCGGAGGGTTTTTGGAAGCAGTTGCTTGGGCTTTTGTTGGGGTTTGTTCGTGGCTAAAAATTGCATGGCTGCCTAAAATCCCTGAGTCCGTAGCCATCCCTACCCGGAAATTGTGTTTTGACCATGGCTCCTGTGTCTTCCCCGTTCTCTTCACCTCAATCCCTCAAACTGGCCACCTACCTTCTCCCACAGACCACTCTGAGGTGTGGGGGAGGGCGGGTTTATTAATCCGATATTAATATTTCACCCCACAGATTCAGATGCACACAGAAATGAACTCCTTTTCTAGGGATTTTTTCAGGGAGCCTTCTTTTCAAGAAATCAGCGCCTAGACCTTTGGAAGCCGGACCCCCTTTCTGGGTTCTTTCCGTGCAATCAGCAGGACTTCTGGGGGATTGAACGCGGGGATGCCAGTGAAGGAACCACTTGAAGTGGTTCCAAGGGGCCATTTCCTCATTCCCTGCTTAAAGCCGGCAAGTATTTGCAGGGGAGTACAGCCAAACAAATCAGTCGAATCTCGCACTTCAATGAGTAGATTGATTGGCCAAACAGTCGTTTAGATTTGTGCCATCCACCACACACACACACACACGCATACACACGCACCCGCAGCCGCAGCCACAGCCTCCCCGCACGCGCACGCACACGCACGAACGCGCACAAACACGCACAAACTCGCGCACACCCCAACACACATGCACACCCCACAAACACACACTCAGACACACAGACACACACGCGCACCCACACACGAACATCCACACACACACACACACCCGCGCAGACATACATACAGACATGCAGACGCACATGCACATGCAGAAAGACGCTCGCGCAGACGCACAGGCACAAGCAATCGCACGAGCGCGGCCTGCCCACACGCGCACGCGCGCGCAGACACGCACTCCCGCGCACACGCACACACCCGCACGCGCACACACACACACACAGTCACACACACACACACAGACACCCACTCACACACACACACACAGACACCCACACACACACACAGCCACAAACTCACATCATCGGACACACACCCGGACACACACCCACACACACACACACACACCGACACACACACACACACACACCCACACACAGACACACAGACACACACGCGCACACACACACACACACTCGCCCACACACACACACAACCACACACGCACACACCCGCGCAGACATACATACAGACATGCAGACGCGCGCACACACACACACACACGCACACACACACACACAGACTCGCACCCCCACCCCCACCCACCCCCACCCTCCCCCACGCACGCACACACGCACGCACACGCACACACACGCACGCGCAGGCGCACACGCACACGCACCCTTTTATTGGTGGCTTGAACAGGGCTCTTGGTGGTTGGCCTTGTTGAAGGGAACAGCACACCTCGTGCTGTTGGCAATAGCGGAAGCACTGCCTCTTCTCAGTGGCTGGTGTTGAAAGGAACCTCACAAATACAAACAAAGATGCGCAACACTAAACGCAAATGAACTAGTTGCCAAGAATAAAGAAGCAGCAGTATCGGAGCACAGTTGGATGCCCCAGTTTCCAAAAAAATACTCATTGTCCATGCGTGTGGCTCAAAAACCACTCCAAAAGGGGTATTCTCAAAAAGAGACACCCAATGGACGACTCTCCCCTATCCGGTCCTGGCGTTGAACAAACGAAACATACAAGCTGGATGGCTCAACCCCCCGCCCCTGTGGCAGGAGTCGTTTTGTGTTATGTAGTGCGAACTAACATCACGCAAAATTAAAATCTACAGATCCAACCTTAAAACCCAGACCCTCAGAGCAAAACAGGACACTATTGTTGGTTGATTTTGAGGAGACACCCGCCCAATCCACAAAAGGGAGCGCCCCACAATTTCATCCCAACAAAGGGTAGACTACCTTTTTGGTTTCCCCTTGCATCACCGTGCTGCGCAGTGACACTGGCAGAAAAACGCACTACAGCCCGAAGGCAGGACCCAGGCCCCATCAGAGATCAATCCCAACGCAGGAAAGACCGCCTCGATGGAACCCAGGAAACAAACCAAACATCATGTCTGCAGAACCTGTGCTGCACGTAACAAACACCACAATCCGCCAACCCACCATGAGGTCTGGGCAGCCCTTTTAATTGACACCGGCAACAAGTTTGCGCCAGAAAATGTCGTAGCCACGGCCACATGTGCGGCCCAATGCCTGAGAATCCGTCGCCCGAAAAGTCACAACAAACCAGAAACGAACCCCGGCAGATCGTTTGCACAAGGTCGAGCTATGAATTGCCCGCAAGATTCACTTCTCCGCTTGCTTTTCTTTTAGCAGCCACACGAGCGGCTGCATACCAGAAAAGGCCAAAGACGACAGGCCGGGATGCACTGCATAGTACCTGTGTGCACTGAAGTACCAGGTACTATGATCCAAGCATATCAATATCGAGCCTGGAGCAGAGCCAGTATACGTTGCACATAATTGAACCACTTGCCTCGAAGCACTTGCCCAGAACAAACTGGCTGATGCCGAATATGCACAAATCGCTTCCCAACTGCGTACTTCACGAGCACGTTCTCGTAGATTGCCAGAAGAAGAGCCATGGCAACAATAGCATGCTTCTATCCTCCCATGTCAAAGAACACCACTACCACGGATATCTCCGCGACATCAAGAAAGAACACCACACCTTCATGCATGAGCAGTGAAGGCATCACGACATAGAACTTTCCAACACTGACGTCACGGTTGCGAACCTGCATTGCCAGCCACCGCCGCGGACAAGTTGTTCCCCATCATATCATCAAGGAGACCATGGCGCCCCGAATTGGTCGAAACGGCACTACCAGCTGGAAGGTTCTCGGGCCAAGTGCTAAGAGTAGACTACCAGGGCCAACTTACGAATGTCTGAGCAACTTATGACAAGTCACCAGCTGAAAGCAAGAGATCCCCATGAGACGTCCCCAATTTTGTCCATCGGCATAAATTGCCTCAGGGAAGAATCATGAGGCAGCAGTCTATGCGGGGGAAGGGGGGAAGGGCACTGCGAGATGGCACCCTAGAGGGGCCCTGACAAACGGGTTCCAGCTTGACAATGGCAATGTTTGTAGCATCCGTGGAAACGACTTGTATAGAACCCATTTACTTCCATTTGCTTAAGAATATGTGTTATTTCCTCTGTTCGTTTAACGATTATTTTAAAGGCATGTATCACTGATTGACATATATTCTACTTTTTGCAGGGGGCGAAGAAGCAAATGGAAGTTGAGGGCCTAACATTTGTAGCCCGGCCCTGGCCAGGTGCAAGTTGGTTCTTGAAGACGACTTCGCCAGCTGCGCCTATTGCGAAGAGTCTCGCCGCGCTACCCGCGACCGAGATTTGCGGGCTGAGTGGCTGAAACACCAGGAGGCCTTGCGCCTACAGCGACTGCAAGATCAGGCCGGCCGATTGCCGAAAGCGAATCGACCATTATTTCTTTGGTTCATTTTGCTTGGCATTGGCTGTTAGGACTTTAACTTTTTGCCAACTAATGGGTTTTCCACTAAACCACTAAAAGTTAAACTTTCAGCAGGGGAGCAGAAAGCAACCGAGATTTAATGGCCCCTTAGTTTTTCGTATGTGGGTTCTGTTTGCTTACTTGACTTCCCGAGTTCCATTTCGAACTTGAGTCACTTTTTGGGTTTGGACCATTTTGGTAGTAAACAAAAAGTTTGGGCTTTTCTGGGGCCATTCAATCGGGAAATGAGTTTTACCCAAAAGCTTAATTCGTTTTAGGTTTAGGTCCTTGCAAGCGAGAAGTACTTGCTTTCAAAAAAGGCATGGACAAAATGTGAGCCGCATTGCGTCCCTTGGTTTTTTGCGGGAAATCTAGCGAGTCTCCCCATGTCCCTCCCAATTGAGCCAGAGACCCGATAATGTTGACAAAACTCCATACATACATAAGCATAATGCAACATAAAGGCGCACTGATTGAAAGCCATGGCAAGGCAAGGGGTTTTCATCGCAGCCCAGGAGTGGCTTTTGTGCCTATTTAAGGCCATGATCTGAATCAGAATTGGACATCCCTGTGAATTGTTTTTGAGGAGTAGCCTTTACGGGTTGGTTTCTGGCGACAAAAGGCCCGCCGAAGCCCGTGCTGGCTTGTTTTTCTGCCACATACCCAGGTCATGCGCTTTAGTCTGGTATGACAAAGCCTTTAGCCTTTTGACCTTCCGAAATTCCGAGCTCTCCGATTTCAAGTGGGGCATTTTTTTTCAACCTGTTGTTCGGGCTTTCGGTGATCAAGTCAAGTGCTATTTGGATTGGCCAGTTTGACAAGCATGCGGATCGGCCTGATTCGCGCAGAGGCGACAAGGCGCATTTTTTAATAGGGTCCCTTGGGTGGACACGGGGATTCATGCCCACCGTTTTAGAGGTGTTTTAGTTGATTTTTTTCCAGCGCGCCAGGTCACTCGCTGGCTGAAAGAACACAACTTCCAGGGCGTGAACGAACCCAAAGTCTCGCGCTGCGGGCTCCGCCGCACCTTTCCCTTGCTGGAGGCCAGCGAGCTCCATCAAACTCCCGACCATAATTTTCATTTGTACATGTTTGTATATTATGGTACTCCTGGTGTCATTATTTTGACGGTTTCTGGGGTTGTCAAAGTCAGAAAATGGGGTTGCCCTTTAACCCACCACTTATGGGGTGACTTTGATCATGGTAAAATAATGAGGCCAGCACTCTCCCACCAATTAACATAGAACCTGACGTTCAGGGTTCCCTTTGAAAGGAGAATGGTCTTCCATCACCCGACCGTCAGGTTCCGGCTGTTAATTGGTGGAAGGGTACACACATTCTGGCCAAAAACGACGTCACGAAAAAGAAGAAGGGGAAACACTTGCGGCATCATCCATGAAGGCGCCTCTCGGGATCCGGGCAATGATTTAATTTGCCCAGACAATAGGTATTATATATATATATATACATATTATGTATGATCCTGGTCTGCAGGCCCAATTTGCGTTGCTACCCTCTGTGGTGGGTGTTTTGTATTGGCGTGGTGTTGTTTAGCTTGGGTTTATTGACTTAGGATTGGTTAAGGGTTGGTTCAGGGGGTGTAAGCTTCATGGCCCTGTGGCTGGTTTAGGTTAGTCGAGGCGGTTGCTTTAGGGGTTGGTTGGTTTTGGGTGTGGTGTAGTGTGGGTGTCGGTGTGGGTGTGCGTGTGGGTATGGGTGTGTGTGGGTGTGGGTGTGGGGTGAGGAGTGGGCGGAGGGCTGGGTGGGGGTGGGTTGGTGAGCATGCTGAGAACCAGAAAGTTCAGCAGAATCCCCAGAGTGTCCAGAAGTTTGGTTACGACGTCAACCATACTCCTGGGGAAAATCTATCTGGGCAGGGTCGAGGATGTAAATACAGCTTGGTTACCCCAACGCAGCCGCCCTGTCAATTCTTCGACATGGTGGTGGGTTGGCCTTTTTGCGATTGTGACTCATGGGTTTTAGCTGTTGGCCAAACGCAAAAGCAAACCGCGCAATGCACTGTCGCACGAAAAACAACTTCAGTTTACGGGGATTATTTCTAGCCCAGGCAATACCCGGAGGCTAGTTTGGATTGCTGTAGCAAAGTTGGGTGATTTGCAGCTGCGTTTTATGGTGAGTCGTCTTTTGAGGGTGCAGTTTCTGTGTTGCGTAGCGGCACCCCGGTTCATTCCCAACACTCGGAACCAGCAAGCAGACCATCCCAATGACCAGAGCGCAAGGACTTAAGGTTCCCCAATTGGCCCCACCCTTCTGGGTACCGAACACAACCACCCCCAGCCAATACCTCAAGATGCTATCATACAATTTGAAGATGTTATTATGCTGTATAAGTATAGTTAATGTTCATATAGAAAAGGGAAACAAGACAATACGTGTGTTGTCTATAATATATATATATATATGCACACACAGAGACATGCTGTTTTGTGCAAATTGCTGCAACAGCAGTTCACACCTGTAAATCAATTGAAGCTAAGCTTGTACTCTGATAAACATGGAACGTCCGTTGCTTTTTCCGATCGGGTCCCTAGGGTCCGAATTGGGCCTCGGCTTCCCCAAGAGGAAAACTATCGTCTTCAAAAAATGAGATCAGCTTCCATGTTTGGAGGGAGGGTAAGGGACATGTTTCCCCCCAAACAGCTCCCATTGGCCGCAAACGTGAAATCCAAGTGGCACAGAAGAAACCACCAAAGAGATCCCAAACAAACGGCGATTCCTCGAAAGCTCGATGGCTTTTCGTTTGTTCCAGGTGAAACGTGCATCCAACTGCAAAGAAAAGCGTTGCTGAGCTGGGGGTATCTAAATTTTGCGAGCTACAGCTAAGGAGCCAAGGAGCTGCCGATATTTGTTCTGCAGTTTCATGGTAGGTAGCTAGGTTCCCCAGTAGCGCCCTTTTACCCTTTTTTTGGGGAGGGTTTCCCTACTAAAAGAGACTACAGAAAAAAAGGGTAACCTTATTCGAACCTCTCTACTGGAGGATCTAAGTAGTGTATCTCATATTTGTTCTGCGGATTGCTTGGAATTTTCATATGCGCCAGGCTGCTCGGACGCAACAGGCAATGGTACCACTGCTGGTTCGGTGCGGTGCAAATCCCATGCAGAAGGACTGACTGGAGCTCAGGAACTTGTGAGTGACTCACTAGGTACCCTCCACAAGAGCCAGGTGGTTTCTTGATTGCTGTTGGGTTGGATCTTTAGACTTTAACTTTTTGGGGAGGGGTCAACAAATAAGCTTTTTTCAGAGGGGTCAACAGCAACCCAGGTTTGTAGCCAGGTGGTTTGGATTGGTGTTCCGGGGAACCCCATGTACGCTCACTTCCAGGATCGGAGCTTCAGGGCAAACCACGCATAGTCCCTTGCTTGGGGATCCCTTTAGTTACTTTTTTTGACACATTCTAGAAGTTACAGATTCATTGCCTGAGAGTCCAAGAATTTGTTTGCCACTAAAATGGTCTTTCCAAAAAACAATAATGTCCAGGAAACTAGGAGGTAAGCTTTCCTTTTGAAGCGCCACAACTGACTCTTTATGGGTTCTGAGCGCATGGGCTCTTGTTGGATGCTCATGATTGTATTTTGGTGCAAGCGTTTCTTGAAACCTGTCTGGGGGTGAAGGTAAGCGCTACATTGGTTTGGCGACTGGCCAAATCAGGGCTCCCTGAAGGCGAATTGCAACGGAATCCAGTGCTGAGTGTTCACAGGGCCACCACTTAGCTGACTCCCAGCGTAGACCCCGCATTCTGCGAGAATCGGGCATGTTAACTTCGGAATGCAGATTCACTTATTTACAACGGCGCTTTGACAAGTCACTGGTCACGGCCGAAGTGGCGCCTTAGCAGGAATGCAGATTTAGTTATTGGAAGGAGTTCGTTGTGTCAGAGGTTTATTCTATGACCCATACATTTTCTCTCTTTGAGTCCAGGTTGACATCCCCCACCCCATGTGCGTGTGACCCGGGCCCCAAGCGTTGTTCGACAGCATTGGTTAGACGTGCACTGTGACTGTTACCACTTTCCAGCCGCGCTCCACCCCTTCATGTTCCGCGTGCACCCAACACTCCCATGCGCGGTTGGCCCTGGATTTGACCCTTGTCTTTGTTGCGCAGGTGACCCGAAAAGGGAGTGCCAGTGACCCCCAAGCTAACCCGAGATTTGCTACCACCCAGCTGTCGTTTTCGAAAAACGGAAGCCGTGCCCTTGCCGACGAAATCCCTCTTCTACCTGGCTCCAGCTGTAATTGTCGTCAGGCCTGCCAAACATATTCATAACTCATAACCGTGCGTCAACAAATTCAGGCCCGAAATGGTCGGAGTATGTTGGTTTCCCTTTGATGTTGACCCAACATGAATCAACCCCTGTTTGTTAATATGGTGGTGTTTCTTGGTTTGAGTGGGGAATCAGGCTACTTTTGGGGGGGCCCCCACCCCCCTATGAAAAAGCTGGGGTTGATTAATGCGGGGTTAACATTGCCCTGTTCACAATTTCCACTCCTTTGCTGGAGCCCAGAGTCGTCCGAAGTTTTTCTGGCGTGTTAGGACCTGCTGGGTTACACCGTGCTGGATCGCTTGCAGTGCCAAGGCCTGCGCGCCCGAGTTCGCAAACTTTGGCGGAACTGGCAAGCGGCGCAGTTCTAAATGTGAAACAGAGCTGGGGGGTCTCCTCACCGATTTGAACCAGCTGCATATGGAGACTCTGACACTATGGGTTTCGGTCCTCCAAGACGATTTGAAGCCGCACATAAGCAAACAACAATTTGAGTTTCTACTGCACTTGACCAAGCTGTTCTCAAGGCATCAGAATTGCGTTGCAAGGTTTGCTCGGTGGTTTACAGCCATCACTTGCAGGTGTCAGCATGTCATCCTCAACTTTTTGTCATGCACTGACACCTCCAACACCACTAACACCACCAACGCAATCACTAATGCCACCAACACCACTATGATCAGGACATATGTTGGATGGCCCGAACTTAGCCGGTGAAAGCCACAAGGAACCCAACTAGTTGGAGGTCTGACCTTCCATGTTTCCCCCCTGGTTTTAAATAGATCCATGAGTTACTGGACATATGATTCTTTATTTTGAAAGAGGAGACACCCCGGCATAAGCAGCCAAACCTGAGAATCTCGTCGAACAAACCTGCTGCAATGCTGCCAGTAAGTCTCCGAGCTCTTAAGAGATGACCAAACCCAGGCTGTGAAACATTGGTGTGTATACCCCTTTGATGCTTTTGCCCGTTTTTATTGCGACCAACTTTGTGCCCGACGATCTCTTCAAGATGTTCCGTGAATAGACTCAAGTCCCCCGAGTTCCGGGACTCGGACTTGAGTCACTTTTTGGGTTTGGACCATTTTGGTAAGCAAACAGTTTGGACTTCTTTGGGGCCATCCACTCGTGAAGTGAGTAGAATTGTCCACTTGGTTTTCATGTTGTTTCTCTTTCAAAGCCCAAGGTCCATAGTCACACACGCACACATGTGGCAGATTCCCTTCTGAAGGCGGCGGACGGTTTTGGCAAACGGAAGCTTCAGATGAATACGCCCTGGCCTGGTCTTCAGCCAACGTATCCAGCTTTGGATATTATTTGTTGTCATCGTTGTGACTGAAATACCATGGTTGAACGCTTTTGAGACTTTGGGATTTGATTCAGTCCCCATTTTCCAAGAGGATCCTTCACTTGGGAAACATGCCCAATCCATTCCAGGGGCACTTCCCGTCCAAATATCCTTTCAAGGGATCTGCTTTTTGTGGTTCTCCCCCCAAGAAGGCTCAATCCCCGAGATTTACCCAAAACGGGAAAATGAATTGCTGGATTTAAGTCTTCCCCGGGCGAGTGTGCGCTTCCCCCGATCGGAGCCAGATGCATTTCCCGTAATCAGTGTTGGGTTTTTGCGCCTTCTCTCCAAGAGACCCCGTCAACGTCGTAAAGTACTGTAGTCATGCTGACGACCCCAAGTTGGTATCACAGAAGGTCGTGTTCAGCAAAAAAAACATGAAATTCAGCCAGGATGTGTCTGTGCCTTTATTTCAGAACTCTTTCAGTACTGGGGCGTTCCACAAAAGCAGCATCCAAATTGCGTGCCTTGACGGGGCATGGGAAGGTTGAGTTCTTTAGTGTCCCCGAGCAAAACACAGTTGGCAGTTGCTCATGCTTGGGGCTAAATCGATTTTATGGGTCAGAATATGAAACATACATTTATTGTCCGACCGTAGACTCAGACTAGGTCCAGTTGGTTTGGATCGGTGCTGGGATGAACCATATACCCCTGGTTCTGGGCAATGGGGACACCAGACGTGCCCCAAGGCTGAAGTTCTGGCTGGGCCGAAAGCCAAGTGTTCAACTTTTGGGCCTTTGGGGAATACTGAGCTAAATGCTTTAGTTGGGCATTCCCCAATTTAAAAAAAACAATGGCCCAGACAGTTAGGCCTAAGGCAACGAATTGGTTGAACTTCTGCTTTGCAGGGGCTTGGGTTTCAGTCGGAGAAGGGAGACAATTTGGCACGCGCCACGCGCGTGTTGTCGGGACGCGGCCGTTTTTGGCATATGCCGTTGAATTCGGCTACGCTCGGATCCGGTTGGCCAAGAATGGTCTTCCCTGGGTCCCCCGTTGATCACAGGCATCCGGTTGGAGAACCGCGCAGTTCCCCGGGTTAGATCTCTCGATTCTGGATGGGCCCCCTCATCACTTCAAAGCACCTCCCTCCGCTCCAAACAAATGCGGACACACATTACAAGTGACCCCTTGGTTCTCGAACCCAAACCTTTAGCTGTTTCCTTTCCTCAAAAGAAGGGTCTGAAACAAATGCGAGAAACCGGGGCTTCTTTGTTCCAAAGGCCAGTCCTTTGAAGCGTTCTGGCAGCAAGGAAGAAATGGGTCTTTTCAAAGCCAGTCTCTTGAGTGACAAAAGCTTTGGTCAGTTTTGAGCCATCTTAGAGTCAAAGGTCACAGGGTGATAAGCGCATCTTTAGAGGTCGACTCGCTCCGGCCTTGTGATCTGCGACTTTCGGCCGCACAGCCCAGTGGATCCGTTTGCCAATCTGCCAAGGGAAGCATCCTTTCAATACCGCGAAGTGGAATGGCTACGATGGCAACTGGGATCCGCAGGGCAGGGCTACATATGTCTGACTAGATTCCTTTCGAACCGAAAGGTCCAGCACACCAGTTTGTCCTCATTTTCAGATCCGCGGAAAGCTCGGCCGAGCGAGGGTAGAAGGCGCTCATCTATGAAGGAGCTCTGTTGGCTCATTTTTGCATCTGCGTTCTTCCCCAGAATTAGTTCCCTTTTTTTTGTGTTCCCTTTGTGTTCCACGAATTCCAGGCAAAAAATAAGTAAAACAAATACATATATATATATATATATATTTGCTGGGGTCCTCTTCTTCCAGCCAAGTCTTCAACATTCGCTGGCTGCAGCACACAGGCTTGGGTTTTCAGACCGGCTGGGAGATCTCTGCGAGCTTGGGTCCCAGACCTCCGCTCGCCTCCGGTGGTAAACCCCAAATTGGCTTCCAAAAAAAAGACGCGCCAGCATAGTTTCTGCTGCAAAAAAAAAAAAAGCGCCGAGCTGGTTTTCATACTAAAATTATTTTGCTGTTTTTCCATTCGGAAGGGGTCAATGAGTCAAACTCCATGCGCTCTTTTGCTCCGGAAATCCACTGGAGACAGGAGAACTCCAAGCTCGCGACATCGGTCGTTGGCCCAAGCCTGGCGGACATTTTATACATTTGACACTTCCTGAGTTGGATCGAGATACCGTTTTTACTTTGCATTTTGCCAAGGGATGTTAGGACTGAGCAACTTTTTGCCAACGAATTTGGGATTTCCGTATTAAACCACTAAAAGTTAGTCACTTTTAGCAGGGGAGCAGAAAGCAACCAGGTTTAGGAAGACCGCTTTTCGTGGTTTCTGAACAAGTTGACTTGATAATTTATTTTCCTCACTCAGGAAGCGATGCAAAGTTCGGGAGGCTTTTGTCGGCAATTCTCTTTGCCACGTTGCAGGGGTCGAGAAAAATGCCCCACTTCTTGGTGGTTTCAAAAACAATTTGGGAGCGAGCTTTCCAGAAAGTGAGTTGTAGGGGGAAATGCAGAGAACCCTGCTTTCCTCTAGCGTGGCGTTTTCGTTCCAAGGCGAAAACCGAAAACCCCATGGTTCCTAATGGGGCTGCACTCCCGATGAGTCAATGAGGTTGGAACAAGTTCCAGATCGGCCCCGCCTCGAATGTGTGGGAGAGAAAGAGAGGGTGGGCTTTGCTTCAGAATCATCACAAATGTTCGTTTACCTCCCTGGAAATCTGGAGGTTGCGTGCAACAGAAAGAAGCAGGCAGTCAAGTGGTTTGTTTTTGGAGCGCCTGATTCACACCATCCCCGCAGTTGCGGGGCTTTGGTGGCGAACATGAGTCTGGGTCGTGTTAGTGTTCGTTCAAAATGTTGGGTTGCTGCTTCTAACCAATCCACTCAAGTGTTCGTCCTATTTGTTGAAGCCACGAAGCAAGTCCGAGGCCATAAGTCAATCCCCACTCTTTCTTCTCCCTGCAGAAGCCTGCAGAAGGCCGTAGGCAAGCAGTGCATGCCCACATTTCTGGGAAATGAGCTGAAAACTGGATTCCAACGCCAGAGCGTCGGAAACCTCAAAACGTTCCACTCAGGGTAGGGAATCCAAGGCACTTTAAACAAGGTTTGCGAAGGGGTTTGGTTTCCTTTTATTTGGGTGCAAAACCTGCGTGGGAAGCTCGAACCCCGCTGTCCAGTGGCACCCTTCAAGTCCGTGAAACACGCGTCCGTTCGCATACCTTTAGACATGTTAGACGTTTAGCGTTTAGAGAGACTCATGTGATTATGACAGAACCCACTAAAAGTTTCACTTTCAGCAATGAATCAACGGACCACCGAGAAACATGGTGAGAAACGTGATCAATTCAACAACGGCTCACTGGGAAACTGAGCTCAGGAGTCAGTGATGGCAATTAACCGCTATACCTGAATCCTTTTATTTTCTCTTCTGAGACAAATCCATGAAGGCGAAACGGCAACAAGCCCCTCCAAACAGCGACTTCCCCGACCAAACGTTGACTTTCCCCGACCACTTGCCAGCCAAAGTTGAATTTTTTGAAGCTTTACAAGCGCTCATTCCACCAATTTTTGGCAAAAGGCCGGACAAATGCACACTCGGAAGATTCTGGTACACATTGTGTCATTGCAAGGTGACCATTCCATGATCCACAATGAGTTGGCGATTTTCAAGTCAGTTTTGAGGTCCAGTTCTGGCCCTGTTCTTACTCACCGCCAAAATCACATGCCTTTTCGGAGGTGCATTTCTTGAAGCAGACTTTCGCCTAATCTTGCGCCCTGTTGCCAGGCTTGCCTTCATTTTCCCTACGAGGCACTTGTTGCATGACAGGTTTCGAGCTCAGAGCTTGCTATTATTTTACTGCTCCGCGCGCTGGCCTCGCATGTCCGCCGCGCGGGATGGATGGATGGATGGATGGATGGATGGATGGATGGATGGATGGATGGATGGATGGATGGATGGATGGATGGATGGATGGATGGATGGATGGATGGATGGAGGGAGGGAGGGAGGGAGGGAGGGAGGGAGGGAGGGAGGGAGGGAGGGAGGGAGGGAGCTGGGTGGGT